AATTAAGCTTATGAGAAATTTGAATCAAGGATTGAATTTGGAAAAACTTGAATAAATTATGACAATTTTCATTTTTGGGTGAACTATCCCTTTAACAGTAGTGAAAAGGGAGCAATTTATAAAACTATATATAGTTGTTCATATATAATATATATTATTTATAATTTTTTGAAAAAGAAGCAGAATAAGACAAATACGAAAGAGATACAAATTAAACTCATTTTTCAGATACAGTAGGTTTACTTAACATATTTATTTAACATCTTTTGTTGGTTAACATTAATGACACGAATAGGTACTTAATTAGGAATGCTTTTCCTTTAAGACGGAAGGTATGCATGTAATACTGACACACTTTCAGTTTTCACCTACCTGTTTACATTCACTTAATCCATAACCGACTGTATTTACGTGAGATACTCTACACGACAGACATTTGGACTGATGTGTGTGTATTTGAGCACTGAGAACTGAACGCTCCATGTATATGAGAACTGAATAAGTGGAACGTGCGCGAGAGAGAGCACTTCTATCAGCGCGATTCCGCCTATCTTCACTAACTTTAAGTTAATTGACAAACGAATTGTGACTCCCGGGAAAAACGGGACATCTGGTCACCTTATCCCTACCCCTTCGGGTGCTGAGGCCATTGTTTCAGATCGCTAGTTCGCATTTTGGTAGCCTATCCATCCACTGCGGCTGCCATACTGAGACTAGATATGCAAACGCCTCTTATCCGATTGCAATCCAATGACAGGGACGCACATTTTGAAGGACAAGACAGTAGCCTATACAGGATGTATTTTGAATGTCCGGTAGTCCTCAAATAACATTATAGTCCTGTCTCGTCTTGTTAACGAAGACGCGGCATAAATTTCGTCATAGTTTTTATCATCAGATATTAGTTTTAGCTCGTCAACGTCTCGTCTTAGTCACAGAAAAAAATTGTTTATGAATATTTTTCATCGTTGATGAAATTAACACTGGTTCCTGGAGGGCCACTGTCCTACAGAGTTTAGCTCCAACCCTAATTAAACACACCTGAACCAGCTAATCAAGGTCCTTTGAAATGCTGGAAACCTCCAGGCAGGTGTGTGGGAGCTAAACTCTGCATGATGTTGGCCCTCCAGGAGCAGGATTGGACACCCCTGACTTAGACGAACCAGATCCAGGGTTCAGGATATCAGCAGTAGCGTTTAGCTCCAACCTTAATCAAACACATCTGAACCAGCTAATCAAGGTGTTCAGGAATACTTGAAAATAGCAGACAGGTGTGTTGGCGCAGGGCTGGAACTGAAATCTGCAGGAAGGTAGCCCTCCAGCAGCAGGGTTTGGCTATCCCATTGTGATTTGAGGGTGGGCTCTTTTAATTTGGGCCAGCAAGCACCAGCATAGCAGTATGCTAAAAGAAAAAAACACTCAAGGCGCAGCCAAAATCGCATAATGTCAGTGTAGGTACTGTAGTTGATAAGGAATGAACTTCATGACGTAGTAGGCATATTTGGACACAGGGTTAGACTACCTTAGCAACCACATAGCAACAGCCTGGCAACCACTCACAACATCTTGGTATCATGGAGGCAAGTTTTGCACGGTTACTAACAATCTAGTTTCTAAACCTCACATCTGGAATAACACGCTCCACCATTCTTCAGCATTAACTGCATGCATACAGTATTGTTTATTTCCTCTCCTTACCCAGTATTTTTCTGCATGTTTGTAAATGGACATTAACACATTAACCTCCTCTAACCCTTGCATGTTTCAAAGTGTACTCATGGTTACTGCTTGCTCACATATGTCATCATTAAATGCATGTGTTTGTGTGCATGTGTTGTCATGTGTTCAGAGTGCTCGCTCTCGGTCTTTGGCCACTCTCATTGGCAGTCAGAGCTCTCTGGCCTTTAGTGCTGTAGACGGATGGCAGTTTGGAGCTCATGGGCCCAGCGTGAGTACCGCCCTACTAAGACCTCACCTCCCTAAACTCCCAGAGGCACAGTAGAGTCTCTCTCAGTTCTTAAAGGGTCATCCTCTCTGCTTGCTGTTTAATCTGTGTGTTCCCAGCGAATTGTTAAAATTCACTTAAGATGAATATGTTGAGTGTTTAACGACCGTACATAGAGGCACAAGAACAGTACACATTAATCAAGTAATTGATTATTGTTAGTAGAGTCTTCAAAACAGAAAAGGGCCTGTTTGAGTGCGTCAAAGAACAGGGTTAGGAAAGAAAGAGAAAAAAACCCCACTTTATTCAACAATTCGTCGTTGTTGTTCTGTGTCAGCTGTGCCACACGCTGTGCGTTCAGTGGATATTTTCCAAAATGGCACCAGGGTGACGCGGAGGAGACGAATTGTTGAATAAAGTCCTTTTTTTTCTTTTGCGCACACAAAGTATTCTCGTAGCTTCTTAATATTACGGTTGAACCCCTGATATCACATGGGTTATTTTACCGATTTCCTTGCTACGTTTCTGGACGTTGATCGTGGTAGTACCCTTGCTGTCTATGGGAGGGTCAGAGAGCTGTCAGAATGCATCAAAAATATGGGAAGATGAAGAAAAAGATTCCGAAGATGAACAGAGGTCTTACGGGTTTGGAACGACATGAGGGTGAGGGTGACAGAATTTTCATTTTTGGCTGAACTCGCGGCTGACACAGAACAACATACACTGTGCGTTCAGTGGATATTCTCCAAAATGGCACCAGGGTGACGCGGAGGAGACGAATAAAGTCCTTTTTTTTTCTTTTGCGCACACAAAGTATTCTCGTAGCTTCTTAATATTACGGTTGAACCCCTGATATCACATGGGTTATTTTACCGATTTCCTTGCTACGTTTCTGGACGTTGATCGTGGTAGTACCCTTGCTGTCTATGGGAGGGTCAGAGAGCTGTCAGAATGCATCAAAAATATGGGAAGATGAAGAAAAAGATTCCGAAGATGAACAGAGGTCTTACGGGTTTGGAACGACATGAGGGTGAGGGTGACAGAATTTTCATTTTTGGCTGAACTATCCCTTTAAGTTGTTCCAAACCAGTACAACTAACTTTCTTCCATTAAATACAAAATAAGATGTTTAGCAGAGTGTCCAAGCTGCTCTTTTCCGTACAATTCTGCTAAATTGTGTGAAAACTGGCTCTTGATTAGTCAATAAATGGTCTCTAAGCAGCAAGCATTGAGCAAGAATGCCCCTTATGGAGACCTCAAGACCCCCACCCCAAATTCACCCTTCTCAGCTTATATCCAGCGTCGGCTGGTTTGCACAATTGCTGCTTCTTTGGGTTGTTCAAGTAACAGGAGATTAAGAACATTCCTAACCACTAAACCATATACACTAAAGTCCTGGAAACAAACACTCTTTCTTTCTGTCTGTGTGCTGAACAGCACAATCTGCGCTCAAGAAAGTTTAACTTTTTGATAAGTTTAGCTGAAAAGCTCATGGAATATTAGTCAAGAAATATGACTAAATTTTGACTTAGTAAACATATTGGCTGATTCACCTAGTTGATTATAGGACTAAATGTAAACCTTCCTGTTGGTTGAAATGACAAAGAACTGGAACATTACACAAGCTTATGAAATTTACTGGGAATTCCACATTTATGGGAAATGGCTGCATTTCCTTGTCCCAATCACAAGTGACATCCAGCCTGTTTCCAGTCAGAGTCATTATTAGAAAATGCATATGCTTATTGTTCCACCTTCGGTTTCACTCCGGAGTGTTTTTAATCTAATCTCACTCTTATGTTGCTGTATGTTTTAATGCTATAGTCGTCCACTGTAGTTAGAAATGCTCTAAATATGACCCTTAATGATTAAATAAGCATCATCAATTATGTTACACCTTTTCCCATAGCTTGTTGAGACATTTTGTGCTGTTTCCCTGCAGGATGATGTCTTCAGTCCTCAAGGACAACAGGGCTACCATATCGACACTCTAAGAAAAGTAAGTGCTTTACACTATGTATTTGGAAACTTAAGTCATCCATAGAATTGCATCAGTGTTTATCGAATGCGATGACATTCAGACGTTTTTAAGCTTGTTGCTACATGTACACACAATGTATGCATTTTGTGGTGATGTTCTCGAATAACATTTAAACTCTTGATGTTTGTGGTATATTGTGTTTAATGTGCTAATGAACCAGATTGAGAGACTGACCCAGTGGGGAAGCCTGACTCTAGCAATGATTAATTAGCTGTAATTAACAAGCACTGCTTTAAAGAAGCCTCAGACGTGTTCTAATGATAGCTGAGCTTTCTAGCGCATTAAAACCAGCAGTGGATGTGCTCACCACTGACTGCAATAAACACACATGAAAGAAGGCCAAAATTACGATTTAAAAATCTTGTAATTGCCATTGTAATTTAACTGGCTACAGATATGTCTTACAAGCTTTATGCTTTATATCATATTATAAAATTACTGACCACTTAGTAAAATTGTATTTGTGCAATTTTGTGCCGTTTTGTTATTTAGTTTGATGTGTGCTGTTTGTACTTAGTTCGTGACTTTTGGACCTTGTGAAAAAGTGACCTTGAAAACACGAATGCAATTTGTTTCATTGTTCTCTTAGTCTCTCGGGAAATAAGCCATTTAAGTGAGGTGGATTCATTAGAAGTAAAGCTCTAATTAGAACTAAAGATCTAAAAACCATGAAGCTTCATCAGTCAGCAAGGATTTCTTGTTGTTATTCATGGTTCATTGAATTGTTTACTGGGAACTTCCTGCCCCCTGGTGTCTGGAAAATGCGTCACGTTGCAGCAGGAGACGTGTAGTGACATTTAGACGAAGGCTGAAAAAGGACCATCCTTTGGCTTTAAAAAAAAAAACCAGTGATGTGCTTTAACTCAATTTCAGTGATTAAAAAAAGAAGAAAACGCTGGATTGTTTTAGCTTTGAGGAGACAGATTGGAGTTATAAAACGTCCAATGTGTGGTGATTTGATTGAGCAGAAATACTAAGTGCATGTCTTGATAGTTCTAGTGTGCATTTATCTGTCAGGTGCCTTTGATGAACGGCCAAATGTGTCCTCCTGTGAGAGCTCCCATGAGCTGCGCTCAGCCTCCAATGGCACGCCACCCCTCACGAGAGCAGCTCATCGACTATCTGATGCTCAAAGTGTCCCAGCAGCCCCCGGGGCCTCCACGGGTCCCACACGAGACGCTGCAGCAGGAGGTGTCACGTTGCAGCAGGAGACGTGTAGTGACATTTAGACGAAGGCTGAAAAAGGACCATCCTTTGGCTTTAAAAAAAAAAAAACCAGTGATGTGCTTTAACTCAATTTCAGTGATTAAAAAAAGAAGAAAACGCTGGATTGTTTTAGCTTTGAGGAGACAGATTGGAGTTATAAAACGTCCAATGTGTGGTGATTTGATTGAGCAGAAAAGTGCATGTCTTGATAGTTCTAGTGTGCATTTATCTGTCAGGTGCCTTTGATGAACGGCCAAATGTGTCCTCCTGTGAGAGCTCCCATGAGCTGCGCTCAGCCTCCAATGGCACGCCACCCCTCACGAGAGCAGCTCATCGACTATCTGATGCTCAAAGTGTCCCAGCAGCCCCCGGGGCCTCCACGGGTCCCACACGAGACGCTGCAGCAGGAGGTGGGCACAATTCCTGCAGAAATCTCAATATGTCCTATGTGTTGTACATGTAGACACATTTCATGACCATCATGTTAACATGAAATCGAAATGAACCCTGTTTACTTTAATACGCATTCCTAGTTTTATTCAAAATAAATTACTATATAAATAGTTTTTGAGCTCTATCATTACAAAATTACATTATTCCTCTGATGTCACCTAGATTTGGATAATGTTGCTTGATAGATATTTAAGCATCACTGTAGCCACTTCATGTTGACTGATGTGTAACTCAAGCATTGTGGGTAGTGTGACACTTGTGTCTGTCTTCAGCTCCATGTGAAGATTGAGAAGAATCCTGAGCTGGGTTTCAGTATATCAGGAGGAGTGGGTGGTCGTGGGAATCCCTTCCGCCCAGACGACAATGTCAGTATTTCTCTTTCTCTCTTTTTTTTCCTCTTTTCTTTCTTTTTTTATGTGTTAAATATAGGTTTGCAAAGGGGTGGAAAATTTCCGGAAACTTTCCAAAAATCCCTGGAATATTCTGAAAAATCCTAGAAAGTTTCAAAAATTTCTGGAATATTTACCTTTTTTTAACCATAAAAACACCTTGATCTTAAACAGAGAAACATAAAAACATAAATATAAATTAGACAGATATACAAAACATCATTTTCACTTGACCAAAAGAACAACCATTTAGGTCTGCAAAATGTTTATGCCAAATACTAAATTCAGTATAATATAATTTGAATATTATACTTTTATTATTCAAAAAAGTGACAGTACAGACATTTATAATGTTACAAAAGATTCTATTTCAAATAAATGCTATTTTTTCCACTCATCAAAGAATTCTGGAAATCCAGGCAGTCAAGTCTTTCAGATAAAATTGTAATTTATTTTAAGACAAAATCATAAATGATGACAATTACAGACATAATCATGATGAAAATTTTTAATTAAAGAAAAAGATTTATCCAAGAAAATCCAAACCGAGTATATTCTGCTCAAATTTCTAAGAGAGTAATCTAATCAAAGTATAATAATCTTCAGAAGTCAAAGACAAAAGCCTTTGCAGTTTGTGATGCGAGTAGAAGAAAAGAAGCTGCTGCCTAAAAAGCCAAATAGAATACATTTGATATGTCAAACTAAGGAAAACATACTACGTCTACAAAATATGATCATATATAAAAATCGTAATAAAGAATAAATGAATAATATTGAGTAACATGAGACAGTAATATGAATATGATAGAGTATCAATAAAGAAATAATAAGGAATAACTCGTAATGAAAAATACATTAGAACTGAAGATGAAAATATAACCATATTGGAATTTTGCATACACCAATCATGATTTCCACAAAATTATGAAGTAGCACACCTGTTTTCAACATTGATGATAATCAGAAATGTTTCTCGAGCAGCAAATCAGCATATTAGAATGATTTCTGAAGATCATGTGACACTGAAGACTGGAGGAATGATGCTGAAAATACAACTTTGATCACAGGAATAAATTATATTTAACATATATTCAGTGGTTCTTAACCAAAGCATATTGGGACAATGGCGGCATGCAACTGCTGGCATGTCAACTTCTTTCCTCCTCCTACAACACAGCCACGATTCCAATGCCGCCGAACTAATCCGAAGCAATCGCATATGAACGTTTTTTTTTCTTATTTCGCTTTGGAGTTCATTGAAACAGTTTTCTATTCTGTGAAGAAGATTGTAAACGTAATATTTTATTCTCTTACGAAAACATTCTAACATTCGACTAGTGGTGCGGTCATGGACGTTCGTTTGCTATTGAGGGCTGACAAACGATGTGGTTCTTAACCAAAGCATATTGGGACAATGGCGGCATGCAACTGCTGGCATGTCAACTTCTTTCATCCTTCTACAACACAGCCACGATTCCAATGCCGCCGAACTAATCCGAAGCACTCGCGTATGAACGTTTTTTTTTTTTTTCTTATTTCGCTTTGGAGTTCATCGAAACAGTTTTCTATTCTGTGAAGAAGATTGTAAACGTAATATTTTATTCTCTTACGAAAACATTCTAACATTCGACTAGTGGTGCGGTCATGGACGTTCGTTTGCTATTGAGGGCTGACAAACGACATGTCAAGTGCCATAGACCCTGAACTGTCAGACATGGGTTCGACCCAGAGCAATACTCATTTAGATCCACGCCGCATATTCAGTGGCCTTATTGGGCTGACGAATGTCACCGTGGGCGAAAGAGCAATAGAAAGTCCTTTATTCCATTCGCAGGATGCAGTCAGTTGCGTTTTTAATAACGAAATAACGAAACCCATTTAGTATTTCTCGATTGATAAAGCATTTTATATTGTAAATCTTTTAAAGAGAAAAACAGGAGATTGCATTTCAGATTTTTTGTAAAAAAAAAGTTCGTAAAATGAAAAAATCTGTGCGCGAATGAATGTCTCGTCACGTCACATTAGCGACTGCACTGCTGTTTCCAGACATCCCTACGAAGATTATCATAACATTGTACGTGGATACATCGACTTCTTCAATAGCAAAGATATTCGAAAAGCGACGAAGCCTTGTAAAACGTTAATCGTAATTTTTTTAATGATGTAGTCACATCGAAAGGCCATGAAAGATTTCTGCTATGTCTGCGTATGAGGAGAACGAGCTCCTGTCGACTGTAGTACTGTGTGTATTATCTGATCATCCTTCACTGTATTCTTCGGTAGACTGGAGCGCTAAATGAATCGAAGTAATCAAATTAACATACTGATAATGTAACAAATCCACAATTAAATGCGTTTTTACGAGAGCTCAAGAGAGTTCAGTTCATTCTGAATTGATTCTCAGTTGAACTCAGATGGGTCGTTTTTCACACTATTTTAATTAGCATTGACACGCCGCCCTCAAAGTATGTTAAACTAAGTATTGAGTCATTATTGTTTATGAATTGGAAAAAAAAGAAAACATTTTAAGTACAACTTTAGTGGATAAAACAACGCCCTCCTGCTTTGCTGTGAATGATTCATTCAGCACAATGTTTTTGTGGACTCTTGTTACTTCCATTTCGTCACCAATCAGACTAGCGTAGATCCCTTGACTGTCACTTTTTATTATGTCTTTAAAGACATTGTAAAAACATAACGAACAGTGACTAAAAACAACCGGTGTTTCTTTTTTATTGTCCCACCTTTTATTTATTTAGCACACTTTACTTTGACTTTAGAGATTACTAATCAAAATGTAAATACTTTTTAAAAAGGTTTATGGTTTGTTCATGGCATTAGTGATTACGTTTTTAAAACCAGCAATAATTTGCATCACAGAAGCAGCCCTTTTAATGTATAGCTACGTCAAAGGTTTCTCCGCAAGCAGCTACTATTAAGATGATTGGTATGCATTTATTCAACATTCCAGATTTTGTAAATAAATTTACTTTCCATGGTGTCCCGTGGAAAGAATAAATCAACTAATGCCCTTTCAGTGTGTATGTTTGTTCTTTTTTGATACCGTTTTTGTCCATACAGTGAAAGTCAGTGGGGTCCAGTGATGTTTTGGACCCCATTGACAATCATTGAATGGACAAAAACCGGTAAACTATTCTTTGAAATATATGTTTTGTGTGTTCTACAGAATTAAGAAAGTCATAAAGGTTTGGAACGATGGTGGCTAAATAACACAATTGTCATTTGGGTCAACTATCTAATTTTTGTCTTTTTTTCTCCCCCTCAGTTCTGCAATTATAAATCTATAAAGATCTTATTGAAACAGTGATATGAATGTATTATCAGGTTTGAGGTGGGGGTTTACCTTTTGTTACAAACCCATAGAAAATGTCACTCCATAATCTCCGTCACTAATCGAAGCTGCAAAGGGTCTGCAAAGTAAAATTAGATGACTAGAGTAACTGAATCATTGCCTTTATCAGGTGTAGCTCAGTTCTCCGTTTACTGATAATGCAACTACACCGCTGAAGTTAGAGGAAATGCCTTCAGTGTTCACACAGGTAAGGTTATAACCAAGCCTTCAGCACCTTCATCTGCTTCATTCCTTCACTGAAATCACTTCAAGCCCAGAAAGCAGCGGTGCTGTGCTTTCACGGTCTCCTATCAGGTTCCTGCTCTATATATAACCAGGGGGCAAAATGCAAGAGTGCTTTCAAAACAGACTCATGGTTGTGAAATGAAAAGTCATCCAACAACAGACTCATTTCATTGTTTTCCTGTTGACAACATATGAGTGATTTCAAACCACATGGATTCTCAGCTTAATCATGCAATTATATAATATATAGGCTACATTTATTTGTGTTTTATGTCCATTTATTTACATCTTCTTGCATCTTAATCCATCAATAAGAGGAGCAACAAGACCCGATTCAAAAGCTTACCCAGTCACAATTGCTGTATAGAAAATGTGCCTATAAAAACCAAAAAATGCTGTCTAGCTAGGCAACTCGCTACATCTTGAGGCAGCTGTGCCAGTGTCATTGTCTCGCATCTGCATGGCCTTGATCAAGATGTGTTGTGATTGAATCAAGGCTCCTTCAAAGAGAGCTGGGTACACTGCTGGTGTACAAATAACCTTCAGCAGACCAATGTACTGTACACAAAGTGTCCACTTAAAAATGGTTTTCTTCCTCAACCCTACATTTAGGATCTCAGTAAGACTGGAGCTTTTGATGTGGCACAACATTTTGTGCCTGATCTTACCAAAACATCACATTCTGCAACCAGTGCCATAGTTATTGCTGTAAAATCCCAGTGATACTGTGGCAGTGGAGGCTGATATCAGCTAACTAGTAGGCTAACTGGTGTACAGGATGAAAGTGAATGAGTGTGTCTTATCAGTACCATCACAATACTCAGAACTGATTTGGAAATCACTGGAACATTGTGAAATCTGACTTGTCGCAAGTAGTTGACTAGACCTTTCTGCCTCCTTTTATCACAAATCATCTTCACCCTTAGGTCAGACTCGCATTTACAACTCCTTGGAGTTGCAGAGAACAATAAAATCCAGCATCTGAGAAGCGAGCCGATGCAAACCAGCCCTCGTGCGCTGCTCTAGAGCTGTTGCTTCAGCGCAGAAGGCTGTTTTCGGGCCGTCGGTAAACTCGTGAGGTTAAGCCCCGCCCCGCGGGCGTGTCGCTCTCCGTGACGTCACGCCCACGGTTAAAGAAAAGCGGCAGCCCGCCGCGCGCGCGCAGACCAGCGGACCGTCGCGAGGCTGGAGCGCAGAGTCTGTATTCTGGGAGCTTCTCTTTTTGCTCGGGTAAGGCAAGGAAAACACTTTTGCTTTAGACACTACAGCGCTTTAAACACCATGCTAAGGTTATAAGAAAATGTGACTCGTTTTGGTGAAGTTAACCAAATATGGCTGTTAGCTGATGCTAGCTAGTGAAATTAGCCTGTTGTTCCTTTCAACCTAAACGCTGAAATATGACACGAAAACAGCGGGTTTGTGTTCAAACAAGCGTGTTTTATTCCTAACGAGCTGTTCGCTTCGCGTTTAACCGGTTTTGTCTTTTAGGGTTGCTGAGGTGGACAAACAAGCCCGTTTGTTGCAGTTAGCCGCACAGATAAAAGAGTTAACGCATAAACGTCTTTAAAAACACTCCCCCGGCTCCGGCTCCGGCTCCGACGGATTTGTCCTGAGCTGGTGTGTACTCGTCTGTTTATTCTCGAGGTTTGTACTTTGGCTCAAGCAGGAAGAGTGTTTGAAACAAAGGAGGACACCAGGCGTATTGACCCTGACCCAGATATAACGCAGATAACCCGCTACATTAGCGTCCATCCGCACTCATTCACCCTCACAAACCCCTCAGACTCCACACAACACCGACTCTGAGGGGGTGAGCGCTTGTGTGGAGGCTTATATGCTCCTTGTAAACCTCTGTCTGTCTGTTAGCCGTGATGCTAGTGTTAGCATGACTCAGTGGATTTCACTATGAGGCCTCAAGCACTGATACAGCTCTGTAGAATACACACATGCTGTGTGAGTATCACACCTATAGCATGCTTATATGATCAAGTGCACTCTGTGTGAGCTGTGTATCTGAAGTCTTGATCCATTTATGGTGTCTTTTTTAGCTTAATGGTTTGCTTTAGTTCAAATATTTGACTTGGTTCTCACTCATGTCTTTGTTTGGCACTACCTGCCGTGTGTTTTCTGTCATCCAGACAGGGCTGAATGGACACGGATGGCCGACGTGCATGGAAGGGGGAGAAACAGTCCTGTTGGGGCTTTATCAAAGTATATGAGGCCATGTGTAGGGAGGAGGGCTCCTACTAGAGGTGTGTGGTGTAATGGAGGCAGGTCAGGACGAGCGGGGGTATTTATAGCTGTTGGCATGGTGGAGGCTGTTCTGAACGGCATGTTACAGTGCACCCTTGTGACAGATGAAAACTAATCCAGCCGTCCATGTGAGCGAGAGCGAGGGGCAGCAGACGCGCATGTGACGTGGCCCATGTGGTGGCTTTTCAGGGGAAAACCTCTGACACTGAGGGGCGGGGGTGAAATGGTGCAATCTCGTGTTTGCTTCAGAGATGTGAGGCCCCTGAAAGCGTGCCCCTCGCCGATGTGTCACTCCTGAGAGATTTCAGGTTTATTGCTGGAAAGCGTTGGATGTGGAAGGCGTTTCTGCTGCCATCTGTCTCCGGCTGAACACCACGTTCAAGCTGTTCCACCTACAGATATATTTACATGTCACACTGCTAGTCAGCATTTACCCATCTCAAAACACAGTATAGTCACACTTCTCTGCCTAGCAGGGTTATCATAGTATTGGACTTTCAGTAGCTGCTGCCAGTGAAATTGGTATCGAGTTCTAATTGATACAGCAGAAGAAAATGTTATCGAACACAGCAGTTAGCTGTTAATATGAATGGGTAGTTACTGATAATGTGACTTATGGACCAGGGGTTGGTGATAGGACCAATATTATTTCATAAGTACTTTTATTTCATGGTAATGTGCATTATAATATCATGGTTTTATTTTGTCTATAAAAATAAGAACATACAAGCCCATTACAAACAAAGATGCAATTTAAAATGGTTTAAATGCTGCATACTGCTGTTGCAAAACATAGCATTGCATTGTGCAGTATTAGTGTACGCTCAGGGACTTTAGTTAAGATTTTAGCAGAAAATATTTGGTATTTTTATCTTGTTAATTTTACAAATCTTGTCTAATTTTAGTTGCTGTGTTTTTCTGTTTGCTTGGTTTTTATTTCATTAATTTATTATTTCATCTCCATTTTTGCCATAAAGCCTTAGATCGTGACTTGGCAATACTAATAACTAACTACTGCTGTGCAGTATTAGTTGAGATCATTATGAGCGTGCTAATTCTGTGTGTGCTGTCTAGGTATCCCTTAAATGTATAAGACAATTATTTATTTATCACTAACATATCAATAGCTTTACATCCATGCAGCACAAAATTAATTACGTATTGCAACATAAATGATATGGCAAAATATGTTGTCATGTAGCCCAGTCTAATTAATATCAAGGTTTTAGGTCACTCCATAGGGGAGGTGTTTACTTTAAATTTTATTTTAAATTTCTCTGTTTTTGCAGTGTGTTCATGGTAGATCTTAGTACTGAGATTACAGTTGTCCTGACGTCAATACGGTCTCATCTGATGTAACCTGCCCTAAAATGTGTTAATGAAGGGCTTTACTGGTTAACAGCGAAACAAACCACAGGTTCCAGGAAGTCTTACAAGTTGTCATACAAGCATCCAGCTCAGTCGGGTTGTAAAACAATCGCATGATCCGTGGCGTGAGTTTGAAGGAATGGGCTTGAATCAAGTGATTCTGTGCCAGGATGAGGCTCGTGCCAAACCGATGCCAAGAAAAGCGTTCAGACGTCTGACCCTTAATCTGATTCTGCGGCAACGTTACGCCTTTATCAACGCAAATCCTCTTAATGAAGCCAGTCTTTGATTCCTGCTTCACACACACTGTTATGCTCATGACTCTTGTGTTTTGTTCTCGGCAGGAATCGCTCAATTTCAGAGAGATGGCCCAGGAGACCAATCAAAGCCCCGTGCCCATGCTCTGTGCCACCGGCTGCGGTTTCTACGGCAACCCTCGGACCAGTGGCATGTGCTCGGTCTGTTACAAAGAGCATTTAACACGACAAAACAACGGGGGAGTCAGTCCTATTAGCACAATGGGTACGTGTTTCTGCTCTTTGAACATCTTCACGGACCATCGGACGCATTCGTGAGATTGATTGTTCCTCAAGCGTCTCATTAACTGAAGGGGGTTTGGTCTGTTCCAGCAGCTTCCAGCAGTGTCACCAGTAGTCCTACCTCTGAATCCTCAGCCATCCAGATCATCGAAGCTACACTAAACAGCTCCTCGTCTGCTAGCGCTAGTGTTGAGTCACCCAACTCCGCCGCCGCCACTGCTGCCCTTCCCGTTACACAACAGATGACGGAGATGAGCATTTCCTGTGAAGACGAGGTGGTCTCGCTTAAAGTAGAAGTTCCTGAACCAGGTTGGTATTTGTGTTTCAGACTTGAGGAAGTGTCTCTGAAGACTGTTCAGAATCTTACTGTATGTATATATATATATATATATATATAGCAAGCAATATCACTCCAGTACGAGATCGATACTGGCTCTATATCAGCATGGCTGTGATTAGGCCAGATGCCGAGAGCCGGTATCGCTCGAGTACGAGAGTGATATTGCGTTTATACAACAGTTCGACGGAACGTGTGTAATTAAACAAGAAACAACGGAGTGCCTAATAAAACCCTCTTTTGTGCGGAACTACTTCCTTCCACCACGGATTCAAAGCTCAAGTTAACAGTTAAACATGCGTCACTTTTAGAATTGGTATCAAGGGCATGTGCTGCTTCAGTTAGGTTATTAGTGAGAAATAATGAGGTTATTAGTGAGAAATAATGAGGTTATTAGTGAGAAATAATGAGGTTATTAGTGAGAAATAATGAGGTTATTAGTGAGAAATAATGAGGTTATTAGTGAGAAATAATGAGGTTATTAGTGAGAAATAATGAGGTTATTAGTGAGAAATAATGAGGTTATTAGTGAGAAATAATGAGGTTATTAGTGAGAAATAATGAGGTTATTAGTGAGAAATAATGAGGTTATTAGTGAGAAATAATGAGGTTATTAGTGAGAAATAATGAGATTATAAGAGAAACAATGCGGCAAGTCATACATCCAAGAGACCGCGAAGCTAGACATTTCTTCTTATATTAACTAACGTACTCTACGATTAGCTCGGTGAATAAATTTTTTTTATAAATAGACCCGGCTAGAACAAGCGGAGTGATACAAAATTGTGAACGGGTGTTCCTGTAGCGATACCAGTACAATATCTCACGGTTCTCAACCAATCAGATTTGAGAACCAGAACGAATTGTTATATATGTATAATATATTTTGTGTGTGTAGGATTGGATAACCCCAATATTTCCTTGTCTTTTTAAGAAGAGAGGGGACAATAAAATCATCCTCACTGCTTGAAGACTCCGTTGGTTTGCAAATTTTATTTATTTTTTATTTTTTGCAACTAATTCATTAATTCGAATCGTACTCCGCGTGCAAGGTTTCTGTGCGTGACACATTTTTAGGATGACGAATACGACAAAATTAGAGATGTGCCGATCGATGGGCCAGGGATCGGTGATCGGTCGGTCAGTCTCTCTACTTTCTGATTTCGAGCCGATCCGTTTTGTTACGCAGGCAATAGTGTCAGCCGCGCATTCTCACACTCATCTCTCCGACGACCCCTTCGGTCTCGCACGTTTCATTCGCTCTGGTTAAATAGTGCTTGTATTGCGCATTATTTTAGTAATTCCTGCAGGTTTCGCTCCTATACCAAACGCGCGCGCACCACCACTGATCTATATTAGTGGAGCGCACAATCCACACTCGGTCTCAAACAGCTTGTGAGCCACAAATACCAAAACGAGTGGCTAACTGCGCTACAACGTTCAAATACATTGTCTAAATGCCCATTTTGGCGAGTATCCAGTTAAACGCAGTCAGTTTTGGAACGTTACATAGTTGAGAAAGAGAACGCATGTTGTGTAACAGTATATTGGGACCGTGGATAAACTCTTAAAGGGACTGCAGTCCAATATTCCTGCTGCTGTCTGTCATGTTAAAGAACAAAAGACGAAGAAAATCATTTTCTGCTCTTGACTGAATACGTTTTATAACTTTAATGGTAAGCATTAATCTGCATTTAATTTTTGCAATGAAGACTACAGAAATTAAAGTAATCAAATGTAAAATAACACTGGATGTGTTTTACATTTGATTACTTTAATTTCTGTAGTATTGCATAACTGAATAAAAACTTACTTAACCTGAAAACATTAGTTTAATTCTTGGTTTCTTTATTCTATTGCATTTATTTGTGCCGTTTGAAATATATATATATATTTTTTTATTACTTTTTTCCTTTTTTTTTTTTAATGAAAATGAAACTTTGCGTTGAAGAAAAGTAGATTTTTCTTCGTATATGCTGTCAATTAGAGTTCTTAAAAAGAAAATCGAAATCAGCCAAGAAAATTGCAATCGGTGCATCTCTAGAAAATGTCGGTGTGCAAGGACCTTTAGAATTTTTATCGTATTTTTATCATGGTTTTTGCCATAAAGCCTTAGATGCTGACTTGGCAATACAAATAAATAACTACTGCTGCGCAATATTAGTTGAGGTCATTAGGAGCGTGCTAATTCTGTGTGCGCTGTCTAGTTACCCCTTAAATGTGAGTATTCAAGCACGAAATTTTATATTTATGTGTTTTAACACTTGATAGTCATAGATATGTTAAAAGTGAAAATGGATCAAAAAGACTGCATTGCATTGTGGGGTGCATTTCTAGACTGAACAGGAAAGTGTTTCTTGGTTGCAAACTTTTTTTTATTTTATATATATATATTACATTGCACATCAGCTACACTTTGGCAAATACAATAAGTAATACAATTATTTAATGTATACAAAATGTATGTGTACTATGCACAGTGCTGTACATGCTGCAGAAATGGTAGTATGCTATTTTAAACGCTAATTTTAGCAAATTGATTTGATATACAATGTTTTTGATATTTCAAATTTGATATTTGATTTCCCCCCCCACACACACAGGTGACTGAGTTGACCATTATTTGTACTTGGCTGGTATGGGAGAGAAATAATTTAATCTATATTGTATAAAATATTAATAATGTATAAAATTTTCACTTCAAGTCACTGAAGCAGTTAATTGATCATTGTGTTATATATTATATTATATGTGTAGGGTGATCATGTGTCCTCTTTTTCTGGGACATGTCCTGGGCAGGATTTGTAAATTGTCTAAAGGGTCTGGGTTTTACCTTTTGGTTTAGTTTTTTATTGGTTTAATACTTGCTGAAGGTACTGAGTGAAAAGTAGTTTGACCAATAGTGTGCAGGCATTGTACATGATGTGTGAGATCTACAGAAAACAAAGCAATGCAAATACCTGTACATGGAATGTGTGAAGACAGCCAATAGGAAAACAAAGCTAAAACCCAGACATTAGGCAGTGTAGAAATCCTGGAAAAAGCGTGTATGGTCAGCATAATGTATGAAATTAAATGTTTGCAGATTGTGTAAAATGCTACATTGTCTACATGTCATGAGGTTCTGCAGTTAAAAGTGATCTCTCCTCAAGATGAAACCGTTCCAGTGATCTAGGCGTGTAGTTTTCGGCTGTTTGTTAGATGCTCATTCGTGTGTGTTTTTTCCAGTTGTCACTCAGCCGACGGCGTCTTCTGCTCCTCCGAGCACAGCTGAAGAGACCAAAACACCCGAGGCCCTCAAACCCAAGAAGAACAGATGCTTCATGTGCCGCAAGAAGGTGGGCCTGACAGGTAAGCACAGTTCTCACACACATTACATCACCGCTCCGGTGTGATCGCTCTGTGCACTGGTTCTGATGCTGATGTCTGGTTCGTCAGGGTTCGACTGCCGCTGTGGGAATCTCTTCTGTGGACTCCATCGCTACTCGGACAAGCACAACTGCCCCTACGACTACAAGGCAGAGGCTGCAGCCAAGATCCGCAAAGAGAACCCGGTGGTGGTGGCCGATAAGATTCAGAGAATATAACGCGCTCGCCGTCTGCACCTCGACTTCGCGAGAGGTCAGCTACAAGGACTCGCACGTTGACCTGTGATTCTAAAGACTAGTTTTTTTTAATTACAATATGGGAAAGAATCTTGTTTCTATGCCAATGCATGAGTGATCACTGTTTTCATCTTTCTTTTGCTTTCTGTTGTTGGTATGAGCTTCAAGTTAAAACAAATGGGGGGGGGGGGGTTTGGGGTTTTTTTTCATTGAGTTGTAATGCGACACCTATTCGATTTATGGGCTTGTTGGACTTTTAAATGGGTGTTTTGCATGGTTAGTGAAGTGAGTATTTTACAGTTGACTGCATACTAGAAGTCCCCTTTTTTTGTTTAGTTTTTTTTTGGGCTCTTGAATTCACTTTCCTGGTGTGTGTGTGATCTTTTCATTGGGTATTGAGTGTTAAATGCAGGTAAGAAATAATGGTATTGTTTAGTGTCATTTAATCAGCCGTGTGCTCGAGTGTTGTGCGTGTCGGTGTATGTGAGTTAGTCAACATCTTTTTCATCTGAGGCTCAGTCCGTTTCAGTTTTCTTTTTTGGGGGGGTCTGGCTGCACAGCGCTGTTTTATTTTCGATCTATGTGAGTTTACACAGTAAAACTAACCATCTGTTCAGATTTGATTTTAGTTATGCAAGTTTGTACAAACCATCTTTATTTATTATATGTATTGCGCATATAATCTTGTTACCCGACATTACTGCGAAATTGTATCATGTAAATAAAATTATGTACAGAGATATCATTAAAAGGTGTGGGGTTTTTTTTTTTGGTCGCTTTGTTATAGAGCTGTCCATTTTATTACGAGATTTTTGGTTTCTGAGCCGTGCGCGTGGAGCTGAGCATTTTAGTTAATGCTTGTATCTCAGCAGGTTTAATGGAATGTTATAAAAAAAATTTAAAAAGGCACGTGAATTCCCAGCGTAATTTGGTTTTCCAGATAAATTTGGTGGTGAAACCATGTGCTTTTGTTTTTTTTGTTGGTTTTTTTATTATTTTTTTCCCCCTCCCTGCTCTGCATGTTAACAAAAGTAAAGTCATTTCTTTCCTTCAAAAATGTTGAAAAGGTAACCCATGCCTTTCTCTTCCAGACTGGATTACTGTAATTCTCTTTATGTTGGGATTAGCTATTCAGCGTAGTCCTGATTACAGTAAATTCAAAATGCGCAGCTAGACTCCCGACTGCTGGTTTAGAACTCTGTAAATGGTTTGGCATCATCCAACCAGAGACTTGGTTATTCCTAGGTCAAAGTACAAGTGTAGGGGTGACCGTGCTTTCTCTAGCTGTCCCCAGACTCTGGAGTGACTTACCGTTGCTGTTAGACTCTCTCCCTCTGTATTTAAGTCTAGCCTAAGAACCGATTTGTTTGAGAAGGCATACAATCTACGTTGAAGCTTTTCTGTCTTGTATTTTATTGCTATTTGAACGCTCCGTGTTTCCTCCGGGTCAAACGTTCAGCCCTCCCATTATAGAGTCCGCCTTTACGCCATTCATCAGCCACCTTTCCTGCTTGAGCATCAGCCTGCGTCAGTTATCCAGCTATTGGAGTGATGCTGGGGTTTCCTTTTCATTCAACTGTTAAAAATGATTTTTAAACCATTGACGGACTTTGTGGGAAAAAATATATATATAATCCAATTCGGGTGGTTTAATGCAGCCAGGCCAGAATGCTTCATGATCAATTTTGAGCACCTGCATCCATGATACAGTGTCAAGTTCAGATGAGGTTGGACATGGCAGCAACGCAAAACTTTTTATTCATTCTCCCACTTAAGTGAATCAATTTGGGTTTTTTTTTCATTGAGTTGTAATGCGACACCTATTCGATTTATGGGCTTGTTGGACTTTTAAATGGGTGTTTTGCATGGTTAGTGAAGTGAGTATTTTACAGTTGACTGCATACTAGAAGTCCCCTTTTTTGTTTAGTTTTTTTTTTTGGCTCTTGAATTCACTTTCCTGGTGTGTGTGATCTTTTCATTGGGTATTGAGTGTTAAATGCAGGTAAGAAATAATGGTATTGTTTAGTGTCATTTAATCAGCCGTGTGCTCGAGTGTTGTGCGTGTCGGTGTATGTGAGTTAGTCAACATCTTTTTCATCTGAGGCTCAGTCCGTTTCAGTTTTCTTTTTGGGGGGGGGTCTGGCTGCACAGCGCTGTTTTATTTTCGAGCTATGTGAGTTTACACAGTAAAACTAACCATCTGTTCAGATTTGATTTTAGTTATGCAAGTTTGTACAAACCATCTTTATTTATTATATGTATTGCGCATATAATCTTGTTACCTGACATTACTGCGAAATTGTATCATGTAAATAAAATTATGTACAGAGATATCATTAAAAGGTGTGGGGTTTTTTTTTTTGGTCGCTTTGTTATAGAGCTGTCCCATTTTATTACGAGATTTTTGGTTTCTGAGCTGTGCTCGTGGAACTGAGAATTTTAGTTAATGCTTGTATCTCAGCAGGTTTAATGGAATGTAAAAAAAAAAAAAAAAAAAAGGCACGTGAATTCCCAGCGTAACTTGGTTTTTCAGATAAATTTGGTGGTGAAACCATGTGCTTTTGTGTTTTTTTTATTTTGTATTTTTTAATTTTTTTCCTCGCTGCTCTGCATGTTAACAAAAGTAAAGTCATTTCTTTCCTTCAAAAATGTTAAAAAGGTAACCCATGCCTTTCTCTTCCAGACTGGATTACTGTAATTCTCTTTATGTTGGGATTAGCTATTCAGCGTAGTCCTGATTACAGTAAATTCAAAATGCGCAGCTAGACTCCCGACTGCTGGTTTAGAACTCTGTAAATGGTTTGGCATCATCCAACCAGAGACTTGGTTATTCCTAGGTCAAAGTACAAGTGTAGGGGTGACCGTGCTTTCTCTAGCTGTCCCCAGACTCTGGAGTGACTTACCGTTGCTGTTAGACTCTCTCCCTCTGTATTTAAGTCTAGCCTAAGAACCGATTTGTTTGAGAAGGCATACAATCTACGTTGAAGCTTTTCTGTCTTGTATTTTATTGCTGTTTGACTATTCTATCATTTTAATTTCTTAAGTAATGTTTATTTAAATTTTTTTGTAAAGCACATTGGACTACTCTGGTTGTAATTAATGGTGCTATATAAATAAAATGGCCATTTCTAATAAGTAGAGGAAAACCAATGGTCAGTTCTTATAGGGGCTGTCCCATTCTATATGCACACCTCATATAAAACCATTTTACTGCAGCATTTGTGAGACATCGGCATTATTACACTTTTTAGAGGGCTACAAAGACCCCATTTCTAATAAGTAGGCAAAAACAATGGTCAGTTCTTATACGGGAAGTCCCATACTATATGTACACCGCATATAAAAACAATTTGCTACAGCATTTTAGATGTATATAACATTACACCGGAGAAATTGTGCAATGTCTGAGAATTTTATTGTTTTCGAATGCATGCAACTCCAAATTGCTACAGTAAAATGTCTTTATATAAAGGGTGCACACAGTATGGGAGGACCCTTGTAAGAACTGGTAAATTTTTTACTCCGAATGTGTAAATGTACAGTTTTAAAACGCTGTAAGATTGAAATAATTGCATACTCAATGATACAGTAAAAATGTTTCTTTTGATTTATGCATTGAAGATGTGAGATGACAAGAATCAACCCTTTTTTTAAGGGATAAACATGATAATCAGAACCATAACACATGTTTTTAGCAGGTCAGAGCTGGAAAAGGGGGCGAGGAACAGCAGCTCATTTGCATTTAAAGAGACAGGCCCGAAAAACAGCGTGTTTCTGCTTCCACTCAAAATAGGCATTTTCAAAATGATATAATAAATGATCTGTGGGGTATTTTGAGCTGAAACTTCACAAACACATTCTGGGGACACCAGAGACTTATTACATATTGTAAAAAGGGGCATAATATGTCTCCTTTAAGCTGCAATAATAATAAAAGCGGCTAATTGTGCAGTGTAGGCAGATTTTTTATTAACTTGTTCGTTTTTGCCAGATTAAACTGACTATATGAGTTTAATATATTCTATTCAATAACATTAACTGTTTTTATTTATAACATCTGCTGCTTTGCTTCTGTGAGACATCAGCCGTAAACTTAGTTTTTGTCATTTACATCAGTTATATTTGTATAAAATACACTATATATTTTTGTGTCAGTACATTAATGGCACATTTGAGCAGCATTAGTAAACTGTAAATATAAAGAAATGCCAAATCACATGCAGGTTTTTTTTTCAGACCGGAGGCCATAATCGTGTAATAATTTATATGAAACGTCCAATTTTTCTTTCAATAATGTGTTTTAAAGTTTTGCAAGAATTTCGTGATACTAAACTTTTTATTTGTTGTCATAGCAAGTGATTTTAAAAGTAGGATGGCTCACGTTTTATAAGATGACTGAAAATTTTACTTGAATTCGTAATTTATTCTTACTTTTGGAAATCTAATTGTTTTATAATTACTATTATTATTTCTGTTGTTTCTAGTAGTAATTTTGAGTCAATAGAAAAAATATAACCACACATTGTTTGTCCACTGAATAATTACATATTATTAAATAAAAAGCGTCCCCGCACAAACCTCTACCTCCGCCAGCAGGACCTCAATTTCAGACTCGGTAAAGGTTTTATTTTTCTTTGTGCTCATCATTCTCAAGCATAGAAATTTGGATATTGGTGTGTGCTCTTTTATATGGTAATGATATTAATTAGGGGGCGTTTACAAGGCGGAGATCTGACACCAGTCAGCTACGCACAATTTCAAGATAATTTGCGATTTATAAACATCACATCTGGAAGAGAGGCGTATGCACATGTTTTTGTGCGCACGTTCATATTCTCTGAATCACACTTACGCACTTTTGAGAAATTATCTTAGAACAAATTTAGGACGGTTTATACGCAACATTTTATAAATGAGGCCCGGGGTCTTTATAGGCCTCTAAAGTGTAGTAATGTCCCAAATCTGCAGTAGAATGTTTTTATATGAGACTGCTGTGCTTTATCCTGACAGTGCACAAAGAATGATTGCAATCATTCAGTCAGTGACGGCTGCACAAAACGTAACTAATAGTACGTAACTAATAAAACATTATAAACGGTTACGAAATGATGAACAAATGTATAAGTTTGTTTGCACAATGCTCAAAATATATTCCGTTAATGAGATACAAGGAGAAATTCATGAATATTCATGTCAGCCCCGCCCACAGAGAATGAAAATCTCCTAGCTGTTGCTAAGCTTTATTTGTGCAGACTAAGACTAAACTAATTTATAAAACGGGAGATTTAGCAGTGGCACGGGATTGCCAGATTTCCCCCCATAAAACTACCTAACTTATATAAAACAAAAGATAAAATTGCTAGATGGGCAGTAAGAATTGTTTTTTATTATTATATCTTATAATAGTAGTAGGATTGTGGCAGGTTTACAAGGGATAAGGAATTTTCATTTTCCTGCCAATACACCTGAACGATTTAATCAGCAGTGACTTTTAATACTTTAAAATTAAATGTTAAAGGTCTCATATGATGCTGCTAAAAAGAACATTATTTTGTGTATTTGGTGTAATGAAATGTGTTTATGCGGTTTAAGGTTCAAAAAACACATTGTTTTCCACATACTGTACATTATTGTTTCTCCTCTATGCCCCGCCTTTCTGAAACGCATCGATTTTTACAAAGCTCATCTTTCTGAAAAAGCGAGGTGTGCTGTGATTGGCCGAATTCCTCAAGTGTGTGACAGAAATGTTACGCCCCTCACCATACTGTGATGCCTGCGGCAACCACATGTGACGACCCCGGGCTGGAAGGCCAAACAAAGTATTTTCACTTTCACAATGAAGCACACAGCTTCTTCACGACATGGCGGCGGCGGCAACAATACTACAGCAAGAATAAAAGTTACGCCTTCTTTCTTTGCGTGAACATTTGGGTGGCGTTATGCTAATATTTCCACATAGTGAGGTAGATATGTGGGGGCGTGTTAGAACGAGCCGTTTTAGGGGGGCGTGGACAAGTCTTAACTTTTATAAAGAATATCTCTTTGGGTTTGAGACTTTAGTCTTTGCAACTTTACAGATCTTCTTTATGCACCAAGAGCTTGTAACACTCCAAAGAGAAAGGAAAACTTGAAATCGCATCATACGACCCCTTTAATCATATATATATATATATATATATATATGTTTTCTTCCTAAATGAATCAGTGTTTTTGAACGAATCAGTTGAGTCAATGTCTCAAAGTCAAGAGTTCATGTCACCTGCATAAAGGCTCAAAAATCCAACATACTGACAGCCAAACAAACAAGTGCAGTGATATCAACAAAAAAATTATTTATATTTTAAAATAGCCATACATTCAATCTTATTTGTATACCGGTGTTGAAAACACAAAATGGAAAAATGCTTCTTGTCTGGTCACATTCAATTATGAATTGCATGAATCATGTGAATTGAAAGCATATATTAAATCAAAATGGTGAAATTTGACCAAAAAAACCTGAGCAGTTTGCATCACTGGATGTTACTGTGTAAAACTGTTCTCATGTTACATTTCTGACCCTATGTGTGAGCAATAATTATAATAATAGAGATGCCTCCTTTAGTGAGAATAAACACTAGACTTGGTTTTAAGGAAACAGCAGTAGCATTTATTAAACAAAAACATTTGTATGCATATTTGACATGAAGGCACTTAGCATCTGAACTGGTAATCCAGCTAGAACTTGAGCTACTCTGAACAGCTCAACATGTAGTTGAGTTTCTTCAGCGGTTGTGTCCGCGTTTGGCGCGTCGGATAAAGGCTTTCTCGCTCCATTTGTTCGGCGGCAGCATGTAGGGTCCGTTGTGCACACAGAGGATGGTCATCTGCTCCGCGTACTGCAGGTTCTGTAGGAGCTACACACACACACACACACACTCGATGATGCTCTAATATCACTGAACACGTCACACACCCATCAGTCAGCAAACCTACCTTAGGTGTGATGAAGAAATACTGAGACGTGTTCACACCACACGCCGTCCTCGCTACAATGTTAAACACTCGTCTCTCATTGACAGGATCCATGCCCTGAACAACACAACACAACACAACACACATCAGTCAAACGACACACACGCACACTTCACCTCAGGAATGCGCAGACTATTACACAACTAACTCGATGCTCTTGAACTAAGGTAAATGATTTAAACCAATTCTGCAGTTCTGTCAGGACCACTATCGTCAAAGATGATTGGCAATTAGCATACAGTTTGGATTGGCGGTATGGTTCTGTTCTGGGCAAGAACTCCCTGCGCATCCATGCAGCCTAGCATGGATGAGAGCAGGGAGAGCAGCGATAACCCCCCCAGAGTAAACAGAACAGAACCAACATAAATGTATTGCAGATATCGTTAAAGTTCAATAATGTTATGTACACATTTTAGAATTAGTCTGATTCAAAGGAGAATCAGAAGGCTGAATCCCGACTGACAGAGGAGGAGCTGGGGATGGAGGAGGGTAATTAGCTATTGAGCAATGCGAAAACTGCTGATACTAATGCGGGACCTTATATATGAATGCTTAGATAGGTGTCGTATATTTCCACAGGTAGATGGGATCAGCTGAGAGTCAGCTGATGCGAGCTTGACTAACGTGACCTGCCAGAACTAACGCTACGCTAGATTTCTGAAAACTCGAGGCATGATAAAGCATAATCTACTGACATAAAACAGTCTGCATAATGTTTATATGCGGTTAATGATTTAATTCCACAAGCCCAGCAATCAAATAAAAACACTGTGATTTATGAATTCTGTGTGACTTTGACTGCATGTGACGACAATATTCAACAGCGATCAGGTGATTCCGGCTGTCGATGGACACGCACAACAAATATAAATAAATACATTTAAATATGAATTAGTAATAAATTAATAAATATTTATTGGTATGTTATTTCTTTATTTGTGGAAAAGACTTCAATAGGATTACAGAACAGCGTGAGAAGTTTTTTTTTTACAGATTTAAAAACGATTTAAAGTTTTTTTTCTCCCAAACTGATTTCCAAATAAATTATGAAATATTTCGTCAAAATAATATAATGTGGCACTGCTGTGCATGTTTTTTCTATCTTTTAATTAAAATGTGTGACATTACATTTATTACAATCATCATCAGCAGCCATTAAAACCCCCACATCAGCTGACCTGTAACGAAAACCAGAATTATTTGAGTATTTTTACTATACTAGCCTAGAATTTAATAACAGTTCAATTAGTTTTAAGTTCTGTTTTCATTTTAATTAAATTTTAGTTATGTGTTTGACATTAAAAAAAATAGTCCAATTTGTATTCATTTGAGTAATTTTAGGGCTTTTTTAGTTTAGTTTTATGTAAAAATAACTGGACAGACTGTGTTAGACCAGTGTTATCTTAGTATCACTGAGACACTAGTATAGTTCTTATCATTAGATTTAATTCATTTCGTTTTTTTCATTTTCATTTCTAAGATTTAGTCATTATGTTGTGTTTTTGTTATTTTCATTGTTTTTTTGTCTATATAGTTTTTATTATTTTAATATATTTGTTTTATTATTTTTGTATTTATATCGTTTTAGTTTTAGTTATTTTAGTACATCAAGTTAAGCTAAAATTATTTTTTTTCAATAACAATTACAATTTGTTTTATGGTTTTAGTTTTAGTGAACAATAACACCACTGACAATGTAAATCCTTATTGCTCTAATACAGCGAAGAATTTATAAGCTAAGCATCTATAAGAAAGACCAGCATTTTGTCTGGAACCGATCCGGTAAGCTGTGGAATAAAGTGAACTCAGTGTGTCTGAATGAGTCCCGTGTCTGTGAGTCTTCACCTGGTTGATCTCGTCCACCACTCTGAAGGGGCAGCGGTTGAGCTCCTGCAGGGCCATGAGGTACAGCATGGTGGACACGCTGCGCTCTCCGCCGCTCTGATGGTGAGGCGTCAGCTCATGCAGCGGAGCGCTGCTGTGAAACTTCACCCGGATACGGATGCCGTACTTATCATACTCCTCCTGAAACACATTTACACAACACTGTGTTTGCTGGAGTCTGGCTTATGCTGCTTCAAACAGTGTTTGCAGACGTTATTTTGGAGTACAAGATGAGAATGTGGCTTTTACACCAATAAAACAAACTGAGATTCAGCATTAACTGAACCCAGGACAACAACAAAACCTCTTCTCTCATACAGCAACCAAAAGCCACCAAATGTCCTTCGCTGTCAGCTGGATGAAACTGAACATGAGAGAACGGGGCAGCCTGACATGATGTTATGAGAGTGTATGAACGTGTCCTCACCTTGTTCTCCCAGTGCAGATCCACCTCTCCAACGCACTGCATGGAGCGAAAGAAATCACCGAAGCGCTTGTTGATCTGATCCACCAGCTGCTTCAGAGGATTCAGCCAGCGCTCTTTAGCCTAACACACACGGTCACACTGGTTAGCGGTCTGTATGATGGTGTTGGTGTGACGGGGGTTGTGCTTTGTCAGACGCACCTCAGCAATGTTTTGTCTGTAGGTTCTCAGAGCGTTGGTCTTGTCGTCCAGCTCCTTCTCCATGTTCTTAATCTCCAGCTCACGTCTGTTATATTCCTCCACCACCTGACAGTAAAACCACAGCACATGACACAGGAACTGACTGTACACTGAGCTCAACCCCATAGTTGTGCTGCTAACTGCGTCACACTGCGACGACATTCAGAATGAGAAACTGGACAACTAGAGAATGTTGTGGCTAATATAATATGCCAATGAATGTGATAATAGTCTAATACGGTTTAACTTACGATTTCCACGATGCAGAAAAAACTAATGGAATCACACAATCCAATCATAAAAAAGGATACTGTATGATGCGGAATGTCTCAGAATTTGACAAATGGATAAAATGTACAATTATATTTTGGATGAATAAATCGAATGAAGTATCAACTAGTGTCAGTGAACAGAATCAATTTCCATAACACACAATAACCACTGCAGCTTTTATCAGCTGAATCAAGTTACCGTAACTTAAAGAGATAGTTCACCCAAAAATTTTAATTCTGTCATCATTTAAATCCCCCTTATGTTGTTCCAAACCTATACAAGTTTGTCTTTTCTGTTGAGAACAAAAGATTTTAAGGAGTGTAGAATGGAAAAAAATACTATGAAGTCAATGGCTACCGTCAACTGTTTGCTTACCAACATTCTTCAAAATATTTTCTTTTGTGCTCAACAGAAGAAAGAAACTCATATGTATTTGGAACAATTTGAGGGGAGTAAATGATGACAAAATTGTAATTTTTGGGTGAACTATCCCTTTAAGTCTCACAAGTAAAGTGATTTGTGTCTTGTGTGAAATTGCTGAAACTGATGTAAAAGTCACCTGTGCTTTTATTTGGGTTAAGTATGCTGCTTATGTAGGGAGTAGACAATGAGGCAGTTCAGGATTTGGAGCAGAGCTATTTTATCTCTCTTTCAATCCTTTTTTTTTTTTTATGGAAAAAAAATGATGTTGGACTTCAAATATTTTCCATCTGAGGCATCATCTTCCACTGGACATCTGTCCTGGAACTGATTATGCCTTTTGAATCACTGTTCATTAACAGTCCATATATGTGTGATCTGAAGATATTTATGAATGCTGGCTGGAATTGTGTTATTGTCTTTAAACACCTGGAATCAATCTGCGTGTCCTCGGCGGAAAAAATCTGCGCTATTCTATTTCAGTCGGAACCGATATGTTTATTGCGTAACAGAACTACAGCCAGGCTGCTGCAGTTAATGAATATGTGGAAGGTGTGTTAATGACTTTCTTTCAGGTCGCCAGACTTCCTCTCAGCTGCGCGCATTAAAAGCACAGAGCGTTATATGAGAAATGTTCTGACTGCTGCAGGTCTGTCCTGAATGAAAGAGTGCGTCTGGAGGAAAGTTTATTTGGCTGTCCGCCCCTCCACTCCTCTCTCGCCCCCATGAGTGCTATTCCATGCCTCCGTTCTCTCGTGGGACGGGCCGGAACAGGAAGCAGGCCTTAACGAGCGACAAGGAAGAGGAGTGGGTGCAGAGACACTCCTAACAAACGCCTCTCTGTGTGTGTGTGTGTTTTGAGTTTGAGGATTCTTGGAGTGACTTCTTACTCCACTTTTGTTCCCGATGGATGTGCTGATTCGTGTTAAATATCTTCTTTTGAGTTCAACAGAAGAAAGAAACTCTTACAGTTTTGGAACAACATGACGGTGAGTAAATGACGATGACTTAAATGTTTGGGAGATCAATTCCTGTAAGTGTGGTCCTCTTAACTAGTTTAATTGCTACTATTTTCTACTAAACTAGGCTGTGAGTCCAATTTCAAACTGACATTCTGGTAATTTGCAATCTCAAAATGGTTAAATACTGAAGCAAATTGTTTATCACGCTCAACTAAAAATGAACTCTGGAGCTAATATTGGCATCTATGTTACAGTTAAAGGCACAATATCCAAAAACCACTAGAACAGTGTTATATATTTTGCTGACTTGTGTACTTACATTATCTCAAATGTTTCGATGAATGTTTAAATCCAGAGAAATAAGCAATTTTAACTAGTGACACGGACCGTGTTCATAGTGTCATTGTGTCGCCTGCCAATGACGTCATAACCCCTCGATTTCCGGTTTTGTTTTGTAGAAAACATGGAAACACCAAAGACGCTTTGATATGTTGTGCGTTTTAATAGACCGGTGACGACCGAACAGAGTAGCATTATAACAGAACTTTCAAACGTATCTCGTATGATAAAAACAGCATAATAAAAGCCCCGCTGCTTTACCCCACATACGCACGACCGGAAGGAGCGGAAGCGGTCGACTGTGGCATAATAAAAGCGCCGCTGCTTTCGAGCCGTGTGTCACGCTCGTTCAGCGGCCTCGTTTCGCTTCGACGGCTTAAGCCTCACCCTGCTTCATTCTACTACATTAATAAATCATTAGCTCAACCATGAACATAATTTCTGCCCGAGTCCCGTCGGATTGCATCGGCTGTGGGGATGAAGACCACAACTCCCATGATTCCACACTCAGTCACGGTGTCATCAAACTACACCTTTGTTTCTTTGTTTGTTTTGAATACATGCCCTCTAGCAGCGAAAATTACTTCGGTTTTTACATGTACGTGAGAGTCCACATACAGTGCGCGTGACGCAAATTTTGTCACCAGAATAGTATGTGTGTACTGTATGCACATTATCCAATTTTTGTAACCACGTGTACTTTGTATGTGCAGGTCGCACATGTGCACTGAATTTGTTTTGCACTACTCAGTTGACTGTACGTATACACTAGCGCACGTGTAAAACACTGAAGTATACCTTAATGTGAGCTTTCAGCATGAGGTAAGGATTAACTAGTAGCATTATAAAGGCAGAGGTCAGGTTAAGCATGGATGAGCTGATGTGTTTGTCTCACAGTATCACTGAGGCCGGTGAAGCACTCGGCTCTGGTCTTCTCCTCATTCAACATGGCATCAATCTCATCCAGTGTATCGGGAAACTGGCTGAAGGCCTGAAAGGAAACGACACACACAATGTTGTAAAATAAGGAATTACAGGCTGAATGAAAGATGAGGGGTGTCTGAGGCAGACGGAGCTCACTCTGTGTAGTTCATCTGGGACGGCCGTCTCTCCGGGGCTCATTTTACAGATCGCACTGGCCCTACTCATCAGGGTCTTACACTTGGCCAACAGATTGGTCTTTATCTGGTCCAACTTGGTGTACACCCCCTGTACGAGCACACAGACACATGTTCAGGGTCTTACTGTGCACGATTCATCAGTGAATGAGAACATTTTAATTAAGGAGAGATATGAGGGCATGCTCTTGTTAAAATATACTGTTATCCTGGAATATTCAAGTTGTCGACAAATTTAATCGTCAACTTTTAAATAAAGAATATTAGAAAATAGACGACAATTTTTTTTAACACATGCCACCATTCAAAAGTTTGGGGTTGGTAAGATTTTTTAATGTTGTTAAAGTACCTTTTGTTCACCAAGACGGCACTTATTTGATAAAAAATAATCATTAAAACTAGTAAGTAATATTCTAAAATATTATTATGATTTAAAATAACTTGTCTGTTTTTAAATGTTATTTATTTCTGTCACATGATCCTTCAGAAATCATTCTAATATGCTGATTTGATGCTCAAGAAACATTTCTGATTATTATCAATGTTAGAAACCGTTGTGCTCTTTCATATTCTTTGTGGCAACTGTGATAATGTTTCAGGATTCTTTGATAAATAGAGAGTTCAAAAGAACTGCATTTATTTAAAATAGAAATCTTTTTCTAACATTACACTAGGGCTGCCACGAACGACTATTTTTATTTCGATTAATCTATCGACTAATTTATCGATTAATCAATTAATCTAAACCCGGGGGAAGACAAGTTCGGTCCTAGAGAGCTTGCAGTCCTGCAGAGTTCAGCTCCAGCCCTAATCAAACACACCTGAACAAGCTAATCAGTGTCTTCAGGATTACTAAGGCTATAGGCAGGGGAGGGTTTTTTCAGGGTTGGAGCTGAACTCTGCAGGACTGCGGCTCTCTAGGACTGAACTTGCCTACACCTGGCCTAAGCGATTGATTTCCCACAAAAATCAACAATTTTTCTTAAGAATATTTTATTAAACCAAATGAAATCCAAATTTCTATTAAATCCTTTTTTTAAATCAAAAGTAAAGCGCAACATAGAGTGCAAGAAGCAAGTGTCCATCTCGTAGTCCAAATCACTGAAATCAAAGTTCAGTATTATAGTGTTAGAATGACAACATATCCACGACTTCTAGTCTACTAATAATACAATTATCATCAAAAAACACTTTTTAAAGGAGTATTTACTAGAAATGTTATTTACCAGAATTTATTTAGGAGAAAAATGTAAATGTGCAGTATTTCTGAAAAAAAAAAGAAAAAAAAAACTTTTTTTTTTTTTTTTTATAAAATCAATTAATTGGAGATGCTTTTGATTATTAAAACTTTATGGAACCAGAAAATAATGGAAAACAGAATTTGGTAAAGATAAAACTGTAAAACTCAATTAATTAGACAGGCTTTTTGATTAATAAAATTATACTAATTTTTCACAGAGTATAGAAAAAAACTGAATTTGGAAATAAAACGGATTTCATAGGTCCCTATAATTATAATACATTTTTTTGTGGTAATAAAAATAGATGTAAGTGAATAATAGTCTTTAAAATTACTTAAAATACATATATAATAGCAATGAGACAATAATAATTAGTTCAAATAAAGTATCAAAAGCAAGAAATCATATGGTTTTATTGAGCAAAACTGTTAAAATACATAATGTATTATAAACGATAGCTAATGTACATTACGCATTACAACAAAGGCCTGCAGGGGGCGCCAACGGCCTGACGATTGTTTTTACACATTACTGTGCGATCTAATACTTGTTTAATATTGACCAAGCACCATTTCATTCAAATGTCTACTTAATCTTTAATATTTGGCCATTTCTTTAGGACAGAAATGCTATAGCCACTGTAATTAAAAGAATATGTGGACATCAAAACGTTTGAACTCAGAGTGAGGGTTTCAGCTTTTATTTTGAAACCTCGAGATGGTTTTCTCCTGTGTTTGCGTGGATTTATAAATGATTTACCTTACAAATCTGATGAAATGGCGCACGTTGCGTTCCCAGATGAACGTTATAATAAACCCAAACTCACAACAACATGCAGAGATGGAGTTTGAGCCGCTCCACACATGTAAATGATAACAGTTCCTGTGGAACTACTGTGAACGGAGCCGCTGTGTGACGCACGTACTTAACCTACACGCATGGAAATAATTAAAGCGCATATACTCTATTAGAACGGCATCGCATATCATTATTTAATTAAATCGTAGCGTTTGTGAATTCACAATTATTCTTAATTATGATTTTTAAATGGGTTTAATATATCATGCAGCCTTGGGAAACAGTCTAATAATGTGTTTTATGGATTCTCGTCCGTGAAATGCGCCACCTCCGGTATTTTGCCGGTTAGTCGACGCAGCAAAATGAAGTCGAGGATTTTTTAAAATCGAATAGTCTAATAAAATCGACAATTTTACTTTTGATCAATTTAATGTGTCCTTGCTGAATAAAAGTATTCCTTTCTGAAAAATAAATGTTACTAACCCGTAGTGTAATTGTATTAATGCAATATTACATTATAATTTATATAAGAAAAACAACAGAAATGGGTTTATAAAAAGACCCTCATTTATTTGCTGACTATCCCATTTGACTATAAAATATGTCAGTAAAATGCATTGCTAATGTGACAGATTCTCTTACCTCTGCTTGCTTGAGTTCAGCTAAACTGTCCCTGCAGTCCGTCACCAGCTTGGTTTTCTCAGCAGAGACACCTGCGCTCTGGAGAGCCAAGTACACCTTCTCCATACTCATTCTGGCCTTCATCTACAAACACACATATGAAGCCATAAGACACAGAACAGCTGACGGTAGAAATCAACCTCCGGAGAGGACTAACACACCTGCATGTGACTCAGATACTCCTCCATTATGGCCACTTTCTTGTTGTTTACAGCCGCGATCTTGGTATTCGTTTCCTCTTCAATTGCCTGCAAGTTGATCTCGTTCTGCTCCATCTGCCGCAAACTGCACAGAGAGAAAAATATATAATAGATAGCGGATTTAAAACAAAGCTGCACACAGCTGGTTTTAGGAGGAAGGTACCTGTCCTGTTTTGTGCTGATTTTCTGCTCCAGCTGTCTCTTCTTGCCTTTCAGCTCAGACAGTTTCTTCTTCTTAGCACGCAGCTCATTATCATGGCGGTCCAGTTTAGTTAGTTGCTCACGAACGGCTGCCATCCGTTGATCACATCTCTGCACCTTCCTCTCTGCTGCCTGTGAGCCAAACGTCAAATCTTGAGGTCATTACACTTATTCAGTTGATCTCCTTTCCTTTTATTATTTTGAGTTGTGACATATAGAGTTGTGACATATAGCTCAAAAAGCTTACAAAAAGCAGGCTCTCAAATGGTTTGAAGGGTGATTTCTTTCCTAATGACTGATTTAACAAACACCAACATTTAATCTACTTAATCAAATAAATTAATACATACCAATGTGCCCCAACATTTCAATCCTAAAGCAGTGTAGACAGTGTGTCTCACCCTCAGCTGCTCCTCCAGCTGATGTCTCTCGTCTGCATCTATGGTCGTAGTGAGGAACTGCGAGGGTCGCAGGGCCGAGTTACTGGACACCACGTTATTAGAGTAGTTGGACTTCTTCACGTTGTACTTCTCCTCCGCTGTGTAGATCACCCTCAACTGAAGCTCTCTGATCACCTGCCACAGAAAAACATAAGTTACAGATTGTAGGGCCCTATGAATTCAGCTTTAGCTTTTACCAAATTCTGTTTCTCCCATTTTAATGGAATTTAATTTCAATAACAAACAAAGGCATGTCTAATCAAGTGAATTCATAAAACCTAATAACTTCAACAATAACAGGGCCCTAAAAAAAGTTTCGTTTTTTCCAGAAATTCTGTAATTTAGTCAGGTGACTAAAGTGGCAGGTGCCCTTTCTGTCCAATCTAGGGGCCCCAGACCGCGATTTGAACTGAGAATTCGAACCAAAATTGCTGATTTGAATCATTCGTTTACATTCAAATGTATGCATTTGACAGATCCAAAGTGAATTTTACATTGCATGCAAGCTATACTTTTTTTTTTTTGAATTCATGTTATCTCTGGGAATCAAACCAATGACCTTGGTGCTGATAGTGTCATGCTCTGTTACAATAATAGGCTACAGAAGCATATTTACAAGTTGATAATGAGCAGCTAGGTCACTTAACAGTTTAAGTTTATTGCCACATCAGCTTCACAGGTTTCATGGCAAAGATTATACATTAAAAATATAGAACACAAAATACAAACACAATAAACATAAACAAATTAATAAAAACAATTATAAAACAAAGTATTACACATACATTTCTATTAAAAAGATACTTTAAATTTACTTTTGAAAGAAATTGTAAAAGTTTTTCTGGGTCCATCTTACAAAACTAGTCCTTAATAGTTTGTCCTGATAATAACCTTTGTCAGCTAGGTCACTTACTACATTCATACGCACAAAACTACATGTGTATTAAGATTCGGGGCCACTGAATGATGGAGGACCTACCATCTCGATCATGCTCTTGGTCTTCTCTGTTCCTACAGGCACATCATTGACTCTGTACTGATGGCACAAGTAACTCATGACCTCCTCAGGAGCATCGAACAGCTCACGCAAATACGAGAAGAAGCCATAACGCCTGACAAAAAGAAAAAAAACTGTAATAAATGTACTGAATAAGACGTCTTGGTAGTGGTTGAGTAGAGGGTGTTACTTCAGAGTCTCCAGGGGTCGTGATGGAGGTCGTTTAGAGCAGGACTCCGCTGGAGCGATGACGCTGTTAACTCGCAGCCTCTGTGTGTCTCGCACCTGAGAAAACCGCACATTTGACCGATTTTACTTACTCTCTATTATAAATGTTTATTATTCTATTATTTTATTGCATTATATTATTTTTTGTTTATTGTTAGAAAATAACACAAATTAAATATATAACACATAAGAATCACAAATGAAGGCTTTAAACTACATCTAGACATGACACTAGTGTTGTCACGGTACCAAAATTTCAGTATTCGGTACCAATACCAGTGAAAATCCACGGTTCTCGGTACCAATTTCGGTACCAAAGCAAAACACAAAAACATGCTAATTAAAAAATTTGACTATACTTTCATTTAATCCAAACTGTGTACATATTTAATTTTAAAGGGCTTTTGAAAACCTAGAGTTATTCAGCCAAGAATAACAACTAAGTTAGCTAAAAGAAATCAAATAAAAAAAAGCTCAGAACTGCTTTCCTGACTGATATGACACAAACAATGTTAACCATTTGTACATTCTCTAACACGCATATTTTAGATTCACAATTCATATAAAAGTCTCTGGTATGTAAAAATAGTAAATATCATCATGTCCTTGTTTTTTTTTTACCCTAATAAAAGTTATAGGAGCATTAAATAGTTAATAAAGAAACTTCATTCTAATGTTCATTATATTAGCGTTAGCCACGCTTATGTTAACGATTAACTACTCTAATAACAGCAATGTTCATTTCAATCCAACATTCAAATTCAAATATTGAATAATATTCATAACAGAAGCAGTGTTTCCCACAGACTTGCACTCTATTTGTGGCGGAATATCTATGCAAATTCATTCTCTGCCAGCAGGAGGCGCTTGTAGAGCAGGAGCGATAGAGGTTTCCCCGGTAAAGCCGCACACAAAGCAGCGCTCAGCTCACAAACGCTGCTCAGGCATTACAGGCAAGATTAAATGAAAATGACATCCAAAATTCATTATATTAGCGTTAGCCACGCTTATGTTAACGATTAACTACTCTAATAACAGCATTCATTTCCAACATTCAAATTCAAATATTGAATAATATTCATAACAGAAGCAGTGTTTCCCACAGACTTGCACTCTATTTGTGGCGGAATATCTATGCAAATTCATTCTCTGCCAGCAGGAGGCGCTTGTAGAGCAGGAGCGATAGAGGTTTCCCCGGTAAAGCCGCACACAAAGCAGCGCTCAGCTCACAAACGCTGCTCAGGCATTACAGGCAAGATTAAATGAAAATGACATCCAAAATTTTCTGAAGACAGTCGGTTTCCTTCAGAAATACAGTGATGTAAAAACACCCGCACCGGGCCGCCACAAATAAATCAATGTATGGGAAACACTGATCTAAATATTACAAATTTAAATGAAACTTACCTGCTTGAACTCTTTCATTTGATCTGGGTATCTTTAAAGTGTTTTGTTAGTTTGATGTGTTATCTCATTTTGATGTTGCCACGTCTCTGCGCACCTTTCGGATAGCGCATCAAGAACCGTGTTGACCGGGTACTCGGTACCACCGGTACTTAAAAAAACCTGGTACCGTAACATTTTCATTCTTTTAGTACCGACTTGGTACCGAAGTACCGGGTCTTTTGACAACACTACATGACACATTTTGGTAACAGGATTTCAATCATTACCAACTTCATAATTAATTAATAATAATATTTAGTTGGACCTCCTAAGGTGAACATTCAATAATCAAAATGATATTTTTTATTGTATCAGCTTCTTTCTAAGTACTACACACTGAGCTTCTCACCTCTGTCATGAACTTCTCCATGTCCTCCTGTCTCTGAAAGACAAAGGCTCTCAAGTCGTTGGCAGGAATTTGACTCTCAACGTATTTTGCGTGCCGAGCATCACGGACATTAATCTGGCAGCAAAGGGAGAGAAGATCAAACCGATCTGCTTGAACACCCATCTCCAAGAAACAGCACCTGAATTAGCAGCTGTGCTCTCACCACCAGCATCATGGGATCATAGACGTTGCCTTTGAAACGATCACGGTTATCCCTCAGCCACTTGAGGGCGGTGTAGGTGTCACGGAAACGGACGCGCAGTTTATCCTCTTTCATCTTCATCATGTCCTCCAGACTCCTCAGACGATTCTGCAAACCTTCAAAAAAACAACCAACAAACTAAAAATCAGTAGCATGACGAATTACTAATATGCTAAAATTGAGTGATTTCTCCATAACAGAAAAAAAATATATATATATATACACAACACATTTCAACCCTCTACATTGTGAGTAAATAACTCGTATATGCGACTAAATCTCCACTCTGGGCAACTAAGTGTCTATCATTAGCCATTGGCTAATCAATTCTTAGATTTTACTCGCCAGTGTAAGAGTTGGAGGGCAAGTATAAGTTTAGCATAGATATATTTTCACTTCAGTAGGGAAATATATATATATATATACACAACACATTTCAACCCTCTACATTGTGAGTAAATAACTCGTATATGCGACTAAATCTCCACTCTGGGCCATTGGCTAATCAATTCTTAGATTTTACTCGCCAGTGTAAGAGTTGGAGGGCAAGTATAAGTTTAGCATAGATATATTTTCACTTCAGTAGGGGGAGCTAATGCGCAAACGGCAATCTCATTGGCTGGCGCTCATCTATTACCGTCCCTGTTTTGATTTCAGCAAATCAGTTCTGGCGAACGCACACAACGTGATTAATATTCATGAACCCAGCAGCTCATCAATCCTTAGTGCGCTGTATTTTGCAGAATTTGTAGTAGTATTATCTTTTGATAATAATTACTGATATCTATTACTATTAACTTTTTGTTTACAGAAACCCTGAATGACCAACAATATCTTAAGCATCACCACCAGTCCTAAGTTCGGTTAAAATAACAAATGTGCATTCATACATGGTTACCAAGTTCAGTTCTAATCACTAAAGTTCTATCATTAAATAGTGCTTAATTATCATAATATCATATTATAATGCTTGACTGACTGATGTTAAGAGTGTACTTTCAGATATTTAGAAATTGTGCTATTTTACAAAGATAAGCTGTATGTATATGTGTGTGTGTGTGTGTAAAATAGTATATCAGTCTGGCGAGTAAACTAAAAAATGTACTAGCCAATGGCGATTAAATTGGCAAGGTGTGCGTAGAGGGTTGCATTTGTATGTTTTTCAGCAACTAAAGTCATCTTAAACATTACGGTGTAATTCTCCAGAGGCTTCGTCTTTGTCTCTGCGCAGGTCCAAACTCTCGCCCTCCAGTTTGGCTTTTTCGTCCTGGATGTTCTTCAGCTCTGCGTTAACATCCTCGATCTGAGGCGTGACGTCCCCCATGCTGCCCATGTGCTGAAGCTCCTTCTGCAGGTCTTTGATCATGAGCTGCGTGTGTCCGATCCGCTTCTGCCGGTCCGCCTCCTCCGTCTGCTTCAGACTCAGGTCCTGTCTGATGTCATCAACCTAAGATTTGAAGAACACCAATCAGTCAGAGTTATAATATGCTCTTTAATAGTGTTATAAAGCGCTCTCTTTAAATGTTCTGTAAGTGGTTTCATTTCAGAACAAACCTCTTTATTCCTCAGTTCAAGCTGATCGTGTTTCTGCTTACATTTCTGTGATGCACCTTTGATATCAGCAGTCTGAAAAGAAAAGAAAAACCACGGGCATTACTTTTCTATAATAAAGGAAATAAAACAGATTCTTGGTAGGGCTGGGCGATAAAAACTCTAGGGATAATCATCATAATTATATAATTTTCCTCTAATGATAACAAGAGTTTGATATAATGTTTATGCGCCAAAAGTGGAAGGAAACAGCGCGACTCATTTGAAGCGTGTCACACGGAGCGTTTATCTGCTCGGCTCAGAGTTCAATTGGCAGCAGATGCAGAAACAGATGTGTTCACTCGCTGACGAGTCTCAGTCCCACGACACTAAACAGCGCTGTGAGATCTAGTGTGAAGCGCTTCAATTCAGCGAAGAACACAAATGATTTAATCTAGATTAAAGCCAGATGAAACAGTGCTGACAAACAGCAGAAACACTGTGCACAATGATAGTCAGGAAGCTTTTCAATCTACAAATCGCCATCATTTACCATGGATTTACTGTAGTAACACCAACTGCACCGTGGTATTTCGGCAGAAATGGGGGATATTCATATTGAATTTGATTATATTATTAATGCAGGCATGTATTAAATGTATTTAAGGAGTAATGGAATATAGGTAATTACAGTATTTTTGTGATTAAGCTATTGAGTTTGTGCATTTATACTAAATGTATTTAGGGTGCGTTCACACTTGTCATGTTTGGTTCGATTAAAACGAACCCTGGTGCAATTGCTCTGTTAGTGCGGCTCGTTTGAGTAAGTGTGAACACTGCTATCCGAACCCTGGTGCGCACCAAACAAGCGCCTTTCAAACAAACTCTGGTGCGGTTCGAATGATATATGAACGCAACACGGACCAAATACTTCTAAACGAACCAAAAACAGGAAGTAATGACAAAATGCGACATGATTTGACGATGCGGAGCGAGCGGTGTATCCAAAACAAAATGAGCAGAGGGCAAACGTAGAGCAACGAGGAGGTAAAGTGCCTTTTATGAGCTCCTTGTGAGTTTGCAGGTGGTGAAAATAAAATTATATGTACACGCAAGAATGAGCGCGCTTAGTCCAGCAGATGGCATTAGGTGTGTTCGACTTAAAACTGCGAGAAGCAGACCGATTGGTGAATGGGTGCTTTGATATCATACACCCACAGCACCGCTTTAAGTCTTTAACGCACCTTTTGTTTGAGGTGTTCAGTGAGTTCCATATATACAAGACAATATATACCTCATTCAAGCCGACCAATCAGGTTGTGAATGTATCACTATGCCTTTAGGTTCGCTGTCAAAACTGCCAGTGTGAACACTCAGCGGACCAGGACCAAATGTATCATTTACTTTTTTGGCCCGGACCAAATGAACCAAACGAACCGAACTACAAGTGTGAACGCACCTGTGTGTGGTTTTAACGGTGGTTATCGTGATCTAAATGTACACTACTATGGAAGACAAATGTTTAACGTTAATAAAACTCAATAAATCAGAATAATTACATTTCAGCATATAAAAATGAGGTTGTTACAATTTTTACAGATGTTACTGTCTTTGATAATGAACATAAATTTACATCTGCATCCTAACTCAAGCTACTAGGGGCGATATAGCCTCAAAATTATATCACGATATTTCAAGAACATTTGCGATGACGATATAGAAAATAAAACATGAAACAACGTTTTATTGATGACTGCAGCTGGCAGGCAGCAGCATTTATTAGTGCAAACAAAATGAAGGGCATTTTCCATTCTTTTCCAATGAGCTACTGTCATCGATGACAGACTACCTAATTTGAAGTGTAAATCTATTGTCATAAGGTGGCAGCAGCAGCTGTGTGTTCGACTTGAAGCAGACCGATCGGTGTACAGGGCCGTAGCTGGGGTTTGCGAGGCAGGTTGTACCGGTGGGCCCTGTTTGAAATTGTGTAAATAGCACAAACAAACAAATTAAACAATGTTTACGTTTTTTCAAGTTTGTAGTTGTCCAGGTACAGAAACTGAATAATCAAATGTAAATAGCACTGCATAGTCTTCACTGTATAAATTAAATATAGATTAATTCTTGTTAAAACTACAAAGTAATTCAGTAAAGAGCAGTGAGTGATTTTCTCCTATTTAATTTCTTGGATTAACATTAAGGACACTGACAGCAGCTAGTAAATTAGGCGCGGTCACTTTAAGAGATCCAATATATAGATACACATTCTATTTCTTTCTCAACTGTTTACTTTCGCTTAAGACATAACCGACCATTTTTTCGAGGATACTCGCAAAGACAGGCATTGTGACAATTTTGTATGTATTTGTCGTTTCAAGAGCAAATACATACAAATGCGTCGCTAAAGATATGCGCCTCGCCTATTTTTGAAGGTAAGAGTGTGCGCTCGAAAATGCTCTAGAGCCGCTCTCGCCATACTTTGATGTCATACACCGATCCGTCTGCGCAGCGCTGCTTCAAGTCGAACACACCTATTGGTTTTGTGGTGTTGTTGTTGTGCACGCTAGGGAATGTACAGTGGGGCAAAAAAGTATTTAGTCAGCCACCAATTGTGCAAGTTCTCCCACTTAAGATGAGAGAGGCCTGTAATTTTCATCATAGGTATACCTCAACTATGAGAGACAAAAATGAGAAAATCACATTGTAGGATTTTTAAAAGAATTTATTTGCAAATTATGGTGGAAAATAAGTATTTGGTCAATAACAAAATTTCATCTCAATACTTTGTTATATACCCTTTGTTGGCAATGACAGAGGTCAAACGTTTTCTGTAAGTCTTCACAAGGTTTTCACACACTGTTGCTGGTATTTTGGCCCATTCCTCCATGCAGATCTACTCTGTATATCCGCCATACATCATCGCGTCACTATATCATTGATATCGCAATATGACACTTTTTTAATCATGTAAAAATGTATACCGGTATTATCGTGGACGGTATGATATGGCACACCCCTACGAGCTACTACTGTCAACTCTTACAAAAATTGTAATATTATTAATACTGCAGCCTGCACTGCAATCTGTGCTGAAGATACATGTCAGGAACACAAACTTGTTTCATGATCTGAAACAATATCGCTCATTAGAACATGCAGAAACTAAGAAATTAATTTTTCTATTCAGATATTTATTTTGCTCAGGAAAAATGACTGGAAAAGAGTAAGGAATTCAAAAAGCTGAAGTGTTTGTCATGTTTTGACCATAAAGAGTTTAAAAACACAATTAACCGTCTGGTTTCTACAACTTTCACTCAGGAGCAAAAATCAGCATTTAAACTTGAAAGAAATAAAGGTAATGATCGATATCGACTGATATGAAAAATTATATTGTGATAATTTTTTTTGGCTATATAACCTAGCCCTAATTCTTGGTAATCAGGTTTGATTTGTGCTGACCAACTCCTTCATCTGGTGCTCGATGGGCTGCAGCTGACTCTCCACCGAGCGGATCTTCCTGAGCAGCGGCTCCTGAGCTTCTTTCAGAGACTTCAGCTTCCTTTTCATTTCCTCTCTCTCCTTCTTCACCCCCTCGAGCTCTTTACGTGCTGTTTCATACTCCTAAAATAGGAAACAGAGAACAAAGTCTTGAAATACATCCGATATGCACATCAAATCTTAAAGTGCACATTAAAAAACCTATGCGCTCAATTGAGTCTGATAATTTTTTATCAGATAAGAAAACGCGCATGAACTACGACGGAAACACATTTACTGAATAAATTCCTCAATGTGCAACAAAAAACTCTTATTTTACCTCACAAGATCATGCGACTGGCTAAATGGACTAACCAGCAGACCATCTCATTGAACATCATCTCAAATGTTGTTTTAGTCAATCTGAAATCCCTGAGCAAAAGTCTGTCATCAAAATGATTTAATTACATCCCAGAACTGTCTGACGAGATTGCTTTTCCAAACGTCAGGCATCCGAATGCAAGATAACATGACAGCTTTTGTGTTTGCATTTCATCTGGATGCCCTGAGGCACAAGTCATTATGTAGGGAAAAAATCCACTATGTCCTTCCCTGGTTGCAGCAACTTTCATTTTCATTATTGATACTTTGCTTGATACTTTGATGATTTTATTGATACTATGACGATTTTGTTCACCTGAACACATGGAAAAGGTTTCATTTGCAAATGTTTTATGTGATAGTGATTACTGTTTAATAATGAATGAACTTCACAGTCATTGAACTGAACTGACTGGAGCTGAATAACAACACTATTGTCTTGCTAGAGCTGCTTTATCTCAGAATATTTAGAGTTTGCATCACTGATCCTGTTATTTTTCTATTTGATACTGCATTGAAACAATCTCTATTGCTATTATTATAACTAATTAAAAAAAATTGCAACTTTGGATGAATACATAGCTATTCTATACTATAACTAATACTAATACCATAAACATACCTTTTTCCCAGGTGTCCCAGTTATTTGTCACCAATGATTAATTTAATTCACAGCTGAAAGTGTCTGATAATAGGGAGTTTTGACAATAAAGTCAGTAGTATACGACTGGCTGCATGATCCAACCATGGTGGTCGCAAGCTGCACGCGTGTGTGACCGCGCAGAAGAAATAATATGCCGTGCACGGAACAGACGCAAAAACTTATTTTTTTTTATATTTATCGAAATCTTTTTTATATTTTATTCTTGTCACATGTCATTCAGTTTGTACTTTGTTTTCCTCAGGCACCATTTCCCTTTGCTGACTGTGTCATTCTGTTCAGGTGTGTGTATTTAATTATCCTTGTTTGGGCTGTGTATTAAAGTTCCTGTGTTTTCAGTTGAGTGTGTCCGGTCATGTCAATGTCAGCGTCTGGTGTTTTTGGAGTTTCCGCCTGAGAGCGCCCTCTGGCTTTTGGATGGAGATTTACTACTGATCACAGAACCGTGCTTCACTGACAAGATGCCCATGACAAACGCAGCTTCTGCCTAATCGCGATTGCAATTTAATTTCGATTAATCGTGCAGCCCTACTTATAATGAAGAGTAATTCCTCTCAGGAATCAGAATTTTTTAGCACTAATGCAACAAATTGTTTTTGGGAAGGTTTAATCTAGTAAGATCTGCACTCACCACCAAGGGTTTCTTCTTCTCTAGCATCTGGATCCTGTCCAAGTGTTTCGTCTTCGTGTAGTAGCGGTCCATATCCAGTTTGTTCCTCTCATTACTCTGTCTGGCCTTCTCTAGGAAGTTGGCTTTCTCCTTACACACATTCTGTCAAACATCACAAACAGGATGGAGTGAAATCAAAGCCCTATCACAGCCTTAAAATGGATTTCAAAACAAGAAAAACATTCACCTCCAGTTTGCTCTCTTTGCTACAATACGTCTTGAGCTCGCAGTGAAACTCATACATTTCTGGTGGGCCGACAGACTTCTCAGTGGCTTCCAGAAGCTCGATATTACTCATCTTAGCAAACTCACCAACCTTCTCCTGCAACACCAAATAAAAGACAAACTATTCATAAAAAAATAAGCAGCTCTTGTGCAGTTCTTCAAAACTTCACAGACATGTTTGACAATATATTAGGGTTGCTCCGATCGATCGGCCGGAGATCAGTATCGGCCGATAATCACATTTTGTGACTCGATCGGTACTCACTACACTTGGCTGATCTCACGAACCGATCGCAATTTGATGACGTCAGCGCATGATGGCGTACATGATGTGGGGACATAAATGATTTGGCGCCACAGTCATGTCATCGCCGGTGTGGAAATGCTATGACGTTTTGAGAAACAATGAAAAATTCGCTATTTGTCGTGTATGTTTTGCATGATAATATGATTAATAGATGGTTAATTTTAGATTCAGTGACGTTAGAGCTGATCTGCGCCTCACTGCACACGTCTGCGGCGCGTTACGGCTCCACAGGAACCGGAGCTGATCGCGACCGCTCTAATGCTTGTGTTTAGAAACGTGCCAGCCACGGCACGTTTCTGAAGCAGCTCTCCGCACTGCTTGGCTAAAAATAGTCTTTTGTGAGTTGTCACAGCGTGGAGGATGGAACAAAACCTCGTCAGAGCCGTAAGAGGTAACGGTAACATAACACGCTGATCGTGGGCTGCTTTTAAATGAACATTTATTTATAAAACAAAATATCATCTTTGGCCATATTAGCCTATTCAATAGCATTAACACAGGCTTGACTCCTTTCAAACTTTATCTGGAATTGTCACCGTTTCTGTCACTGCAACTTCCCGATCAGGCCAGGCGAACGTAGTAATGTAGTTAATATTTGCATAATTTATTATTTATTTTATCTACCTGCGACCCACCCGCAAATAATCAGAATGTATTTTTATTACCCCACCCATGGATATAGGAAAAGCAAAATATGTTTGC